CCCCAAAACCCCAAAACCCCTCACCCAATAATAGATAAGATTTTGGAAAGTTCTTAATTTTTAGAAAGACAATATAAGCTAGCATAATTAAATAAATTATCTTGATCATCTTCTGCCTCCTCTTCCTTTTGGGGGACCGCCTCTGAAAACTGACTCCTTTGCCTTATTCTAACAATGAGGCATGTGACGTTAAGCAGTTTATTCAGCAAACTTCCTTCCACAATAAGGACATTAAACTCTATCATCATATTCATCGGCAGGTGGTTGGTAACTTCCTTTACCTCCCTTTCCTCCTTTACCACCTCCCCCGCCACCTCTGGCTGCTTGTAATGCTTATCTAAATTATTCTGATTGCTTCTTCCACTTTGGAGCACCTCCTTTGGCGTTAATTGGCATATTATTTCTCTATTAAGCTACATTAGCTTTAGGTGCATTTCTTTCAGGTCTATCATTTCTTTGGGCTTGCATTAATATTTATTTTTGTTCATTTGAAACAATTCTATGAGCCTGACTATTGAATACTTTCCTCTTTTATTAAAAGACTTTCTTACATACTTTACTGTGCTTTGCATAAGCAACTTCATTGAATGATCTACCACAGCCAGAACATTCTTAAAGATCCAATTTAGAAGGAGCTTAGAAAGCATCTGGTCCTAAGTTAGCTCCGAATCCTTATTATTTCTTTGCAACTGCTGGAATAACTTGGTTAGATACCCCATCATCATAATTTGCGTAGCTGGAAGGTTTATTTACAGGACCTCCTTTAGGTATGTTTGAAGGAGGAGCTCTTCTAGGAGGTGCTTCTCTTTGTGAAGGTTGATAATTATTATGCTTTTACTCTTCCATTCCCCTCATTTGCGATGATTTTTGTTAATGGCCTTGTGGACCACCCATTCCTCCTCCATTCCTATTGTCTTAATAATCAATAGTTCTCTGACTTTGATTTCTATTATTTTAAGGTGGCTACCTTTTATCTTGATAGATACCTTAGTTAGAATTTCTGTTATTATGTTAATCATATTGCTAATTATAGCCTAAGTTGATATTACTAGAGTATGAGTTATTTGTTTGTATGCTACTCTTAGTCGAAAGATTATTCATTTAATCGTAGTTGTCATAGCCACTTCTACCTCCTCCATAGCCTTGATTTTAATAACCACTATTCATTCCACCCATTCCAAAGTCTGTAGCTTTAACTGGACCTTTTCCATAACCAGGTTGTTAGTATCCCACATTTCTTAGCTCCCCAGTACCGAAGCCTGCTCCACCGCCAATGTTACCTCTACCGTTGTTCATTTCATATCCCCCATTCATATTGCCATATCCTGACTTGCTTGCACCATTTACAGATTGATTTTGATAGTAACCATCATTACCTCCCATTCCTCCTGCTAAACCACTTCTGCTGTTGCTTGCTTAAGGATTCATCTGATTGTAACCACCACTGCCTGCCTGTTATAGATTATTTATATCAATTTATTACCTAGCCTTAGCCAAATCCCTTTGAAGAAGTGCCAACAATTTGATCCTCAGCTACTCTTATCATATTGTTTTTCCTCTCTTCTCTAAGTTATTTGGCTCTCTCTAGTTATTATTTTTTCTTATCAGCCCAATCATTAGCTTCAACTGAAGCATTTCTTCGAGCATTCATTATTTTAAAGTTAAATTTAATATTTTAATAAAGTAACTGTAAAAATTTAATAGATATATCATTCGTAGAGACTAACGTAATCAAGACCAGGTTTCTCAAGAATTACAATATTTCTGAATAATGGTCTCTCAGTTTCATATTCGATAGTATTCTATAAAGATGTTTAATTTTCATCATATCTATCACTCATATACTCTCTTCTATGCCTTCGTTAAACATTTTTTATGTTGATTCTTTCATTACTCCACTAAGGTTGTTCCTCATGATGCAAAAATTAAGAAACTCTTGAAGCGTCATAACTTAATTCCATACTTTGATTAAGCTGTATTTGGGCATTAATTAATCTATTCAATGGGTCATACTAGTCCTCTTCTTTTATATTACTTTTATCCCTGTAAATATCAAATAGATTTTTAGCAGACATTTGAATACTTTTGTCTTTTTATAATCTAAGAGGACTGTTGTCTGCAACTTTGTCCTAAGTCACTATTGCTATAGAATTTCGCACAATTAAATGTGATTTGTCAATTCTCTCAAGTTTCCTTCTAAGTTTTTTGTAAAGACTCTGCTTGTACTACTCAGGTTTAATTAAGCTTTGATCATTCTACTGTTATTATTTGTGCATAAGTATACTTTAAAACTTCAAAAAGCTTCTAGAAGACCCGACTCTGCTTTAAACCTATTATTATTAAGAAGTAGAGTCGAAGGAACTCTCAATGCTTATGTCGACATTCTTTGGCTTGAAAAGAATTTTATTGCTTATACTGTCTTTGATTTGTTTAGTTGCTTTGATTCTGAAGTTAGAAATATTATCTCTAAATACGCTGGTTTAAGGTTTATAATTCTAATTATCTTCTTTGTTTACATTTCTTCTTGACAACTATGGCAATCATTGGCTGTTCTCACTATTAGTTGGAAACTGTTTAGCTTTTTAATGAAGTGGTTTAAGTTTTCGCTATTTATTTTCAATGGAAGCTTCTCAATATTCCTTGGCAATATTCATCAGATTTTCGTAGTTATTTTATCTTATGCTGCTCCTCAGATTCTTCAATGCACTTTTTAAACTTGCATTTCCATTATTTTCATAGTTTCTGTAGTATATTTCACTAGACTATAAATGATTAACTTGCTCCAATTTTTAATAAGACATTTTAATTCAATTCAATTTAGCTAAACTTAACGCTTGGGGTTTTGGGGTTTTGGGGTTTTGGGG